CCCTCCCAGCTCCCTCGAGTCCGGGGCCCTGGGCCCCTGTCTCCGCCGGCCCCCCGGGCCCCTGCTGCCCCGCACCCCCCAACTCCAGCCCCCCAGAGTCACGCACACGGGCGGAGCAGGTTGCGAGCCAGGACGCGCGCTCCGGTCATCAGCGCCATCTTGACCAGGCCAAGTTGGGGTCTGGCTGCCCCGGCCCACGCCCCGCCTCCAGCAGCCCCGCCCCACTTGGCGTGTCGGGTGTCGAGGGCGGGGCACTGCCGCGAGAGTGGTTAGCCGGAGAGTTGGGGGAGCGCCGCAGTGACGCTAGGTGGCGGCGCGGCAGGAGGGCTGGCGTGGGCCCGTCTGGGACGAACTCTCCTCCCAAACCCGGAGGCCACCGCGCTCTCCTCCACCCACGTCTGAACCCCTGGGAGGCTGGCACGCTTCCCACGCTGCCCACCAACCAAAGCTAAGGTCAAGTCAGCGACAGCTGCGGATGGGGGGTGGGGTGACTGCACGACCAAGGGAGGGTGTGAGTCCCGGAGTCGGTCGTGAGCTTGGTCGTGAGCTTGAGGCCGTAAGGGCCTTTGCGGGTAGCAGCCCCAGCCATCCCGGCAGGCGCAGCAAAGGCAAGCGGATTACGCCAGGGTCGTTTCTCAAAACCGCCCCCCTGCGGAGCCCGAGGACTAAGAAGGGTGCCACGGGGCGGGGGTGAGGTGGAGGCGGTGCTGGTGGGCAGAAACAGGTGCCCTCACACTGTTGACAGGACCGCGGTGCCACCGCCTCCTTGACAGCAAAGGGAGCACCTGATTTTATTTGCTCTGTCCTGCATTCAGAAACACCGAAAGGGTCCCCGCTCAACACTGGTGTCCCCTGCCGGGTAGGAAGCCACTGTGCTGCCTGGCAGGAGGTGGTCTCGCAGACATCCCATTTGAATATGGACGCAGGAAGGGCCAAGTTCAGGGCTGGGTGACTGAAACCTCAATTTTTTACAGTTTCTAAGTCTTCGTTGTGACACAACCGACTTTTGAGGTGGAAAACCGTTTTTTCATTATTTCGTGGCTGACTAACATAGCAGCAGCCAAGGAGGTCGGTTTCTGGTCAAGCAAAATGCCAAGCTCCTGGGAATATAAGGTGATAAGAGCATCTCTCTCTCGGTGCAGGTCAACCCACAGAATCTGCCCAACTCCCCGGCGTGCTGACCGGCTGTTCTGCTCAGACTCTGGAAGTGTGCCTGCGGAAATGAACCAAGACGCGGTCGTGTGTTTTCAGTGGCTGAGTTTTTAGCTTCAGAAGTGAAGCTGTTTCTGGGGTCACAGACAGGAAGGGGGCAGCGAAGCCAGTACTCAGTCTGCAGTCTAATCCCGTTTATTCAACACAATCCCTTCACTCTACACAACAAAGTACAAACACAACAGCGCCTAAAATGCTACAAGTTACAAAACTCAAAACAACAAATTTATAGTACTGACTGTACAATAAAAGCCAAAAAGCAATGTACACATTGCCACGGTAACCTGCGAGACCACAGTGAATGACAGGTACAAGGGGGGGGGGGGGTCCTCGATGGCCCTGTGGAGCTGGCTCTCAACTTGTTCACCGAGTGCAGAGAGAAAGGGAGCCGCGGGATGTGGTGTGTGTGCATGAGTACGTGTAAAACCAACCATTTCCGGTGATGAACACAGGGTGTCTGACTGTAGATATCGGAGGAGGACCGGAGCAGGGGGAGCAGGGCCAGGCCAGCAGGATCAGCAGCCGCACGGAAAGCAGGCCCCTTCCTGAGGGACCCCGCAGACCGGCAAGCTTGGGCACGACCAGGCCACTGGCCCAGCCCCCACCCCCGGGCTGGGGCCGCACTGCCACCCGGAGCCCTGCGTTGTCCCTGCTGGCTTTGCCACTGAATGGACTCTGAGGAACTGCGAACGTGGGAGCTTTCTAGCCAGAGACCTGGCGGGCGTCTTTACAGGCACAACCCCAAGCCACTGACGCTCCTGCAGCTAGAACTCTGCCTTCAGAGGAAACGCCTCAATCGCCGCCTTCGAAGCCTGCCCTGAGTGAGGAATTTCTCTCCTACCAATCCTCCTGCCGCTACACAAGTGACCGAACTGAAGTGGACGGGACAGAAGTTCCAGGGTGCAGAGCTCCGGTGGCCTGCTTATCGGGAGGAGTTGGAGCTGGACCGGCTCCTGTGGCGGCGGCGGCCGGGCGAGCGGGACCGCCGGCGCACCGGGGACCTGCGTCTCGGGGAGCGTGACCTGCGGGGAGAGGAAAGACCAAGTCAGACGCCAAAGCTGGCACCACAGACACAGCTCCGCATCCCCGGCCGCGGGGCGAAGCTGGCTTCTGGAAGGAACGTTCTGTGAGTTGCACACGTCAATGCTCTAAGCCAGGATGGCTCTCTGACAGCACCGCCTGGGAGCCCTTCCTTCCTGAGGGCCGTGCACGGGGCGGCTCAACACCACCAGCAGAGGAGGGCCGTGCTCTGGCCTCTGCCCAGGGACAGCCCCTCCCTCACCTGACTCAAACTCCCCTCCTGAGCCTTTCCTGTCCTGTTAGCTAGGAAGGGGACAGGACCCAGACTCCAGGAATAGTGGTGCCACCCGCAGCGGTGCCCCCATAGGGCCGTCCCATGCCAGCCCATAGGCTGAGCAGGGCTCCAAGGTCAGCACTATCATGCTGTGTGTGTAAATGAAACAAACCCACACAGGCCTCAAGCAGTCCTCTGGGAGACTCCAAACAGACCTACCTTCTTCTCATCCGTGGGGGCGACCGACGCCACATGGGAGGTGGAGGCAGCATTCTCCTGGGAGGGCTGAATCTCCTGGGCGGTGGCCTCGGCCATGGGGCCAGCACAGCGGTGGCGGTGATCTCCTGGCCATCGATTTGTCCTGTTGAAAAAAAGATCAAGTCACAAAATATCACACCCAGTCACTACTGTGGGAGGTTTGGCCAGGAAACGTGCCTATAGCGTGGAAGCGAAGAGGGAACTCAGTCTCGAGGCACCAAGACCCCTCATGCACAGCAGCCACCAAGGGAAGTGCATCCAAGTGGACACCCGAGCCTGTTCAATGATGGGGAAGGGCTGTGCCCTGACCTGAGCCGGAAGGTGGGCCTAGCACTGAGCTGCCTCCTCTAGAAGGTTGGGAGGGACAGGCAAGAGGAGGGGCAGCACTGTGGGGGCTCTGAGGGAAGCAGATGGGGTGAAATGTAAGAGATCCAGAAGGACTGCCCTCGAAGACATGTGGCCTCTTAGCCAGGGGGCCTGGCCCCCTCTCCCGATACCCGCCATGGAGATACTTTCCTCAGAGGGCTCCTCCCACGGGACCAGAAGGTGGCCTCTGGCTGCTGGGTCCCGACGAGGGCAGTGTCCACTGTAAATGGGCCGCCGGGTCACTACAACGTGGCGGTGGATGGGGTGGGAGGGATGATCGGCACCCGTTTCTAGATGAGCTATGACTGCATCGTGGCTCGGGAAGAAGAAAGTACTACTGGGGAAGGGGAGCAAAACCAAACCAAGGTTCAGCTGTCAAGTCTGTCTTCAGAGCGTGGAAAAAGTGACTTGGGGAGGGGACTCTGAGTGCAGCCACATATGTGAACGTAGCCGATGAGAACAGTGAAGGGAGGCGGCTCAGGATGGAGGCCAAGGAGCCTTCAGGGCCTCAGAAAAAGCAAGCAAAGGAGACCAAGGCGCAGACCCAGGAACCTCAGGGGAGCACGCACCCTGGCCCAGTCCAGGGACCGCTCAGGGGACCGAGCACAGCCCTCGTGTGCCCTCTCTCATCTTCTCAGCTCCTACCCTCAAGGCGACGGCAGAGATGGCAAGGAGGTGGCTCAGGCATGTAGACCTGTGTTCAGAACGCACTCACGAGACTTAAGTAAACGCAGCCTAAGGCACCCCCTGCCTCCGCATGGCCCATTGCCAAGGCCAGCCCAAATCAGGAACGTCAAGGACACCGATCATACAGCAATGAAGACAACTCTATCTTCTGGGCAGCTGCCAGGAAAGGCCAAGCTCTTCCACATTCCTTCTGGAGCCAGCACGGAGTTGCTCCACTCGATGGGGCGCAGTACAGTATGTGGACACACACACAGATCCTACCAGAATCTTAAAAAACGTGGGCTACGACCATGCACACCCTGGACGTGGCCGAGTGTCCTGAATTCTTAGGAAGTGCTCCAGCTCTCAAAGACACATGTTTGACAGTCTCTAAAATGAAGGTGTGGTTAAGATCAAGAGGTGGTGGGCACAGTTCATGACAAACTCCTAAAAAACTTCAAAGGGAGCGACTGGTTGTTTTAGGATTTATTTTGAGAGACAGAGGGGGGCAGAGTGAGCAAGAAAGAGAGAGAGAGAGAGAGAGAGAGAGAGAGAGAGAAAGAAACCCAAGCAGGCTCCTCACTGTCAGCACAGAGCCCGACACAGGGCTCGGTCCCACGAACTGTGAGGTCACGACCCGAGCCAAAATGAAGAACTGGACGCTCAACCGAATGAGTCACTCACGCGCCCCTCAAAGGGATTTCAGTAGACTGAAGACAGCTAGCTTAGCGTTAAGGGAAAGTTCCTAGTGTCCAAGCTCCATCAGGGGTCCAGGAAAACTAGCCATCACACCATTACACTATTTTTCCAGGGGGTAACAGGCTTCTGAGGACTCCAAGGTTCTGGGGTGTTCAGATTCTTCCCTGCGTGGCCAGATACCCCATGCACAGTGCTGTGGACGGAGCCAGCTCTCGGCCCCAGCTGCGTAGATTAGAAGAGCAGCGAGCTGGGGCAGAGACCGATTCCACGCTCTTCAAAGACACAGACGTGAAGACAAGATGGAAACCGGCCATCCAAAACTATTCACAAGTGCTCAGCCGCTGTCAAAACCATTCTGCTCAATACAAAACAGCTATAAATGTCACAAATAGTTACGATACAAGCTTGAGGGAGATGGGTAAAATGTATGAATTCAGCAAAGTAAACCTAAAAATGCTGAAATGTCAGCATAACAGAAGATGACTCTCAGAGAGAACTAGAGAAAACACTGCCATACAAAAGCCAAATGCTGCATTATTCACATTCATAATATTGTATAAGATAAACCCCTTCGTTCCTTAAGTTCTCACAGATTGGAAAACTCTAAAGATGTTAATGTATTCATTTTTGCTGAAATTTTCCCAAGAATGATATCTCATCAGCTTGTTTTTGGTGAACACACCCCCACTGGTCAAGGATGGAGTCGGGCAAGAGCTGCAGGGAGCTGGTGGAAACTGGTCTGAAAGGTCCCTCCGCTGGGCCGAGGCCAGCCTCGCGCAGGGAGCAGAGAGGGGGCGCAGGCAGGGTCACCCACCTCCATCCATGTGCTTCAGAGCCTTCTCGGCCTCGTCCGGATTCTCAAACTCCACGTACGCGTAGCCTTTAGACAGGTGGGGGTGCATCCTTTCCACAGGCATGTCAATCATTTTAATTTTCCCGTAGGTGGAGAATATCTCCATGATGTGGTCCTAGAGGAAAGAAGGGTCACTCTGATGTGCACCCACCAATTACCCGTGTGGGAGCTGAGAAGTCACCCCATGACGATGACAAGCTAGGCACCTGGGGCGTCTCTCTCACACGGAACAACTCGGATAAAGGACTCCGTGCTCCCGCCAGTGTCCTCAGAGCCTATGTTCTCGGTTATCTCCAGCAAAGGCCAGCTTCTCTGGTTTTCCATTTAAAACATTTGCAGAAGAGACGTGGCCCCTCTGCCCACTGGAC